CCAAGCCTACCAGGGTAACTGACCACAGTGCAACGCTTATTGATCACGTGTATACTAATCACGTGACCAACGTTATTAGTTGTAATGTCGTGACGTTGGATATGTCAGATCATCTCGCGGTTAGCACGACCATTAGTTTAGGAGCCACACCTAGTTTGAACGAGCGATTCCGTAGTCAACGTGTAAAGAACAACAACACTAGCTTGAAATTAGAGGCCCGTGTATTTAACGAAGCTAATCATGCTAAATTCAAAGAGCTTATTGTAAGTGAGACCTGGGATGATGCTACCTCCTCAACGTGCGCTGATGAACAATACAATTCCATCTATCAAACGTACATGAAACACTACAATACTGCATACCCCCTGAAGCGCAACAGTTCGAGACGAAAATTCGAAAGAGCTGACCCAAAGCCTTGGATCTTACCCTGGCTTGAGGCGGCATGCAACCGCAAGAAGTTACTTTTTTTTGAAAAAACTATAAATCCATCACAAAAAAACTGCGACGCGTATGATAAAATGAAAAAGTTTTGTCACAAACATGTGAATCTAGCCAAAGAAAAGTACTATAAAAAAATGTTTGACAAATACCAAAACTGCTCTAAAAGTCAATGGAAAATTATCAATGGCCTCCTGAACCGTAACAGAAAAAAGTTCGGACACACCCGTCTGAAGGACGACGATGGCACGATTATAAGCTCCGATCTGGCAGTCGCTGAGAAATTTAACGGCTACTTCTCCGGTATTGCAGCCAGTATCAAGAGGCAAATCGCTGCCCGTCGAACCTTTGACCCAGGTGGTTTCAAGCATTTTCTTAAGGCTTCGTGTAGTAACTCGATGTTTCTTAAGCCTACATCACACGGTGAAGTCCAAAAGATAATATCAGGGCTTAAGAACAAGTCCACACTCGATTGTAAAATTGAGCCGTTGAAAATTGCAAACAGCTGCGAAAACTTTACCAGGGCACTAGCTAATGTCATTAACTGTTCGTTCTCCAGTGGTACCTTCCCAAATGCTCTAAAAACTGCGAAAGTCGTTCCTATCCACAAAGGTGGTTCAAAATTGGAAGTAGCTAATTATAGGCCGATCTCTCTTTTGGGATCATTCTCGAAAATTTATGAGAAACTTATGCATGCTCGTGTTTTAGAATTTTTAGATAAGAACGATTCTCTTTTCGAAAATCAATACGGATTTCGGCCAGGAAGATCGTGCGAACATGCACTGCTCAATGCCCAAAATTCTATACTACACTCTCTGAATAAGAAACAAATTTCCCTACTGCTCCTGCTCGATTACAGTAAAGCCTTTGACGTGCTTGATCATGAGACCTTGCTTAAGAAGCTTGACCATTATGGGATCAGGGGAGTCGCGCACGAATGGTTTAGATCTTACCTTTGTAATCGATCTCAATACGTAACTTTAAACGGAACTTGCTCTTCCAGCATGCCCATAGTTTACGGCGTACCTCAGGGTAGCATTTTAGGACCTCTCTTATTTGTAATTTATATAAACGACCTACCTGGAATTAGTGATTTTGCAAAGTTCATCCTTTATGCCGACGACGCAAACATATTAATTAGTGGAACCACCCTAGAAGAAATACAATTAAAAGCTAATCAGCTAATTTCACGTCTTGTAGATTGGGTAGGTGTTAATGGGCTATCTTTAAATGTAAAAAAGACGTGTTACATGATTTTCACTAGAAAAAGAATCGACTTCAGCGGCTTTAATTTGTCCATTGACAACACTGTAATCGAACGTAAGACTGAAGCAAGATTTTTAGGAGTAATCCTAGACGAAAAGCTCACTTGGCAAAAACACATTACGGCCGTTAGAATAAAGATGGGTCGCTACCTCGGAGTTATGTATAAGCTAAAGCACCTTCTACCTATCAAAGCCCGCCTAAACATTTTCCAAAGCCTTATCCAATCCCATCTAAATTTCTGTTCTTTAGTGTGGGGATTTGCCTCAAAATGTCACATTGAATCTCTGTTCACCAAGCAAAAGCAGGGAATTAGAGCTGTTATGTCAGGATATGTAAATTATAGATATAAAGACGGCAATCCCCCGGAGCACACAAAAAGTGCGTTTAGATTGCATAATATCCTAACAGTCCATAGCGTCATTGTAAAAAACGCTCTTATTCTACTACACAAAGTAAGGAACATGCCAAGCCTTCTCCCTAAATCCATCAAAGAACTTTTCCCTCACGATATTCCCACCTATAATTCCACATACGAACATAACCTTTCTTGGTTCACAACTTACAACGGCCCAACATTTAGAAATACTCTTTTCTTCAAAGGACCCATGCTCTCTATTACAAGACAAAGTAAGGATATAACTATTCCAAGTTCTACCTTTGCAATTGAAATCTTTAAAAATTCAGCTAAGCGCGAACTCCTCAAGCTGCAAAGCTCAGGAGACGATGAAAATTGGCCAAATTTCTTACTTTATAGTATACCTGGGCTAAGAAAGTCTCAAAGAGAAGGGCGCTCGCAAATAGACTACAGCACCGAGTTAGTAAGCGACAACGAGTAAAGAAAGATCACTCGCGACAAATGACTATGATCTTTTATCACCAACATATCATTTTAATTTCACTGCCATTATGCAATGCCGAATTTACATCTGCCGCGCAAAACTTTTTATCTATTATTATTAAATAGTAATTAGCATGTTTACAAATTGCGACTTCAACCAGTTTTGCAGACCGTTAGTTATATAGTACTTTTAGTAGGGCATTTATTTTAATATATTTATTTTACATTATTATATTTTAGTGTGACTTCTATAATTTCATTTATGTAATAACCATTGATCAATAAATTGCGGCACATGCCAACCTCCACCGCGGGGTTTCAAAACAAACCAAAGAAGGAAGGTTCCGCCACCGTTCGTTCTGATGTAGTCAGGAGTTAGGAGCTGTGCGTGCCATCTTAGCGAGGGATTCCTGCTGACAGTTGAGTTTTGACATGGCTTCGAAGGAGAGGGGTCCAACAGCGTCAGCAATTAGGTGTTTCGTAGGGAGGTCAGTATCGGAGGCTTTCCGTTTCATGTTCTGCTTTGCTGTGTAGACAGAGTTTGCTGCAGGAGTAGGAGGGTGGGAATGGGTCTTCGTACTGGTCACAGTAGTGCCGTTCATCAAACTGAGAAGTCCGGAGCAGATCTTCTCAGTGCATCGCCAGTAGGTCATGTCGTCGCGTTTCTAGGAATGAAGACATGTTGATGTTGTTCGATGCTTTGGTAGAATCATCGTGACCTTATATATGGCCCAAGCAGATGAACTTGTTATCCCAATCGGAGATATACCTTCATACGATGCGTGATAGGAATGAGGATCATATGCTGCTTACGAGTTACCCGGTGGATCACACACTGCATACGTGGCTTGAACTGACCCGAAGGGTTGTGATCAGTGGATCACTTCGAAACACGTGATGTGAACCGACGAATCGTATTCTCAAGATCACTTCGAAATAAGTGACGTGAACCGACCCGACGAATCACTTAATGGTCCATAAGAAGGATAGGATGTGACCTGAACTTGAAAATAAGTCAGGATATTTTGTCGCACTAGAGTACGCTACCTGGATCGTAGTGCGACACGTACTGTAGTGCGACAGAGGGTGTTTTTGTCGGACTTCGCACTAGAGTACGTGTCGCACTAGAGTACGTGTCGCATTACAGTACGATTACCAAGTCAAACTAGGCAAAATCGCGGTGAATTTGCGGCGAAAGATAATGTATTTGCAGAGCTAAGTTAGATGTCATAAATTCGTTAACTAGCTTGTTAGTATAGATAGATTAGGGAGCGACAGGCCCGTCAGGCAAAACAACAGCATCTATATTAATAATCTTAAGTGTTAAGATCTAAACAGACTCTTCTTCATGATGTTGTTACACGAATTATGAATTAGGGATGCACTGGTTCATAGGATTACAGTAATGACAATTACTAGGTGGTTTGTGTTTAGATAGTAGGTCTGTGCAGCTTCTAGTGATAATAGAAAATTATTATAATTATTACGTAAGAATTATTATAAAAGTTATGTTTATATAGAAACAAGGAGAGTAACTTACATATTGAGGCACTTTCCTTTTACCTATCGAGAATGACTCGGACCAAAAATTTTCTTGATCGAAATTATTTTCAAAGTTTTTCTGGTCACTACTTTTGTTCATGTTTCATGCTACCCTGAGTATTATGAGCCGAAAATACTTTTTCGGTCCGTACCTACATTCTTAAGGCTGTGGATGTGATTAGTTCCATATAATTATAAAGAACGTGATATTTGGCCCTAGGATTTAAAGGAGAATGCGCAAATTTGGTCCTCATAGAACTGGAATAATCGCAATTTGTCGCGAGGATCTGTTTGTCTCGGCAAACTAAAACGTCAAAAATCGCGATTTGTTGGGGAGAATGAGAAAAATCGCGATTCTGCACGTGCTGCGATTTCCTTTTGACCTTGCTTGAGGAAGATAAATTTGGTCCGTGATAATTTAAACATAACCAGCTCCGCTGTCGTTTTATTGACATATTTGTCCGGTTCACTGCGGACGATAAAATACACAATTAAGTTATTGTAAGTTTGATTACCAAAGAAAGCTTTGATAAACGGAAAATCATCAGAATAGATGGAAACATCTTGGAGGATTTTTGAATAGAAGCTTTTCTGTTGCGCGATAACTAATCCCTGGGATATAAAATACCTTGCTGCGAAACACTGTGCCTAACTAATGTTCTACAATAAGCCTAATTAAATTGCCAACTAAGATGTTCTACACTGTGTCCAACTGGTTTGTCGCGTGTATTTGTCTGCTGCTAATGTGCGTTTTCCCAGGAGGAAACTGTCTGATGATTGACGAGGACACTGCAGCCACCAACTTCATGATAAGAGATGACAAGATGCAGATGTTACTGAGTGCAGATAAAGAGCCTATCAAACCTTATCTCTACAGAGCTAGGGAATTGCACGACAAGTAAGCAAATACTATATAAATACTATATATTCATATGAAATACCAATCAAATGTATAATTTACAACCAAATATCCCATAAATATGTATGCTAATTTAAACCATAAAATATACGGAAATTACGGACCACCACGTTTTACAGATAATCGTTCAGCATACATATATATGTTTCACGACACAATTGTTACTTAAGTGTTTAGTGTTTACTAAGAATAAATGCACTAATAACGAAATTTATGTACTGTAACTTTTATTACTGATCTGTGAGTTTTTATTTCAGATGTATGTTTATGGATAGCCTATGCACGACCACCATTTGGGCTTAATACGCTCACTTTAATACTGCCTGAAGTGGAGGTCTATACCTCACTTAATCTCCCTAAATTCACGTTAAACTTCAGTAGTAGCGAGAGATACATTAGTAACTACAGTACTATACGATTTATTAGTCGGATTGCTCGGCTCAACTGTCCTTCTGAATTTGTTCCTCAGACTCTCTCTCAAAGTCTTACTCCTCCAGATCAAGACAATAGCGTTGAGAGAAGAGCTAATAAAAGGGAAGAGAGTGCTCGTTACGTAACACAGCTGTAAAACCACCTGATCAGTCCAATAGTCCCAATTAAAGGCCCAGGTAAGCACTATCCAGAGACTGTAAACTGTATTGCACACAGAGAATACAGTTGTGAGCAGTGCAATGGTGACTGTGATGTCCTGTTCCGCAGTCCCTGCCCCCGTCTTACTCAGCCCTCTCTTGCTAGCTCTCAGCTCTCTGTAGTTCACTACTAAGCACACTAGCGATATCAGCACTGCAATTATAAACGGAGCACAGGACGTTGCAAAAGTCACGTACTCAGGAACACTCACTACCGTCTTCTTGCCCTTGCCAGCGGTAATGGGGTTCAATGCCATGACTATATCCTTGACTGCGTAGTCTCCTACATACGGGAGGAACACATAGCGTACTTTAGTTGCGTAGAAATCCTCCTGATCCTGCCTGATCCGCACAGTGTCGTATAAGATTAGAGGGAGGAGGACAAGGAGGCATATGAGGACAGATACCCACAACGCTCTTCTGTTGATCAGGTAGAAGGGTCTGGTAATGTTGATGGTACGGACTACTATCAGTATCACGTTTACAAACACTGATACTCGCAATATCAGGGTCGTTATGGCAAATACTGCTGCCAGAAATACGACCATCTCCGGAGATTCTTCTTGATCTGTAGAGGGATAAAAGAGAGGTATGTTATTCATTGCGTAATCAAGATAACAGTATAGATAACAGTTTAAACGTGGCTAATTGTTGGTTATTAATGTTCTCCAGCAGCTCTAAACATTTCAACTAACCTGTAACTAGCAGTATCAACGCTACAAAATGAAGGATTGCAGTCAGAGACACCAGAAAGTCAGTACAGGATAGAGTTAGATAGAGTGAGGGAACTAGATCCTTTCTCTTTCTCCAGTAGAACAAAAAGATCTGACTGTTTGCTGCCAGTCCAAATAGTCCTGTGGAATCAATCATTTTGTCATTCATCTAGTACCAATGCGAACTTTTAGCATGCCTTGCTGCCTCTACTGGATAAACAGACAAATATCACATTTTGTGGTTATCTTAGAAGGATTTTTCCAATATTTCTTACCTACGACTAACGCAATCACAGCGATAGCAATTCCTGCTCCATCCTGCTCCTTAAACTTGTTGTAATTGTCAGTCCAATCTTCAGTGGGCTCTAACCAGCCGTCCTCCCACGCTTCAGTTGGGTCTGTTGGCCCCGAATCATCTGACATTTCTTACCTGCACGTGCTGGGGTAAAACAAGTGTTGAAATTGGGCTTTAGGTTTAAATGATAGCTGCCCTAGCTTAAGATAAACGTTTTTTGTAGGACTTTTTAAGTTTTTAGAGTTGGAGAGGAGGTGGTGTTATACAGAATGTCAGATGTAATTTCGCCTAATAAATGGATTAGTGCTATACCAAGAGAGGGGGGGGGGGTCAACCTCATTTTACCTCATGAGGCCAGCCAAAAAAGGCAAAATTGGGATGAGGTAAAATGAGGTAAATAAATCTAGTTTTCTAAGCCTTTTTTAGAGACAAAAAAGGTTTATTCAAGGTCATTATACTATAATTCGAGGCTGTGCATGGTCTCCCATGATATCTTATGGTTTATTAGGGGTGATGTGGTCCCTGGGAAGGGGCATTCCCAGTTTAACCTACTTACTCTCCAAACTTGGGGTAAAACAACTTCGCATTATAATTATTATTTATGAAAAGAAAATTGAACATTTCGATTTCCATGATCCATTAGGAAATTGTTAATAGGACTTGCTAAGTTTTGTAAAGGAATTAGCAATGACTTTAGTGTCACTTTGGCACACCCCTGCAGATTTTGTCGATTTCAGGTGCCGTCGGCACCATAAAAATTAAAAGCAAACATAAATTTTTTCCCGATCCATGACTCAAAGTGCCGAAGGCACAAAAGAGTCAAGGACAAGGGTTAGCGAACGAGGTTTTTTTTTGTATATGGTAGCTTTCGTCCGTACCTGCGAGCGTGCGAGTGTGCGACCGTACGTGCCTGCGAGCACTGTTATCGCCCACGTGACTACCTGCGCAAAGTTATTTTGCGCGAAAATCTGAATTAAACAATTGTTTGCGCGCGGTGCTGAAATGTTCAAGTAACGTACATTGTTAATTTCACCATGTACGCATCCCGCTAGGGACTAATTGATAGCATAGTATTATTATTTTGAGTTAGTATTACTATTTTGCACAGATCCGTGTCAGGTTGCATAAACAATAAACATATAATATGGTTACATAGAAATATACACGATTTTCAAATTAAATATGGAATTATATCAACTGGGCGGCGCTCGGCCTGTCACTCCGCCATATCTGCATGCTTATAAACAGTAAATACCAGGTGGTATGGAATATGATCAAATACTCAAACACGGATCGGGAAATTGAGCGGCCATCCACAAAAGAAAAGCGGCCGCATTTCTTGTTCCCCCTAAAATCGAACGCTTTCTGCGCAAAAAATTGACCTCAACAGAAAAAATTAAACATGGCTTCAAATCCAAATTTGAACCAGAGATTTTTCACTTCCTCTCGATAAACTTAATTTTCAACCCAAAATAAAGTCTCAAAGGGGTAAATTACTCAAGTCAGGATTGTAGGCAATGATTATTCCAAACCATACATTTTTGTAAATTCATTAAACTTTCAATTTAGCCTAAAACACCCTATTTCGAAAAATTTTTCCAGGGGGCTGCGCCCCCCTAGCCCCCGCCAATGTGGTCCGCCCCTTACCTGGACCCCGCTGGGGGCCGCGCCCCCAGACCCCTGCCAAAGCTTGCAGCTTCGCTCGCCGACAGCCCCCCCCCCCCCCAAAGAAAAATCCTGGCTACGTGCCTGAGCAAAATATAGGTTAAGGGCTTTTCAGATGATTTGGCTCCTCAACAGATACCGACGTACATAACGGTCAATATGTAGTTTAGGTTTACCTGGCCCGTAGGTTACGAATGTGCCCGAGGAGAAAAAAAAAGCAAACTTAAGAAAATTTCTCGGGAACTTAAAAGTTCACCTCAAAACGAAATCTGCACCTAGGCATATTTCAAAACTGGTTCCACTTGGAGGAAATTTCAGAAATGCTTTTATCAATCCAATTTTGGAAATTTTAGAATGTTTGAACTTTATACTTTGAAAATCTGCAATATTGGAGACATCAATCTACTCTATCATGCAAAAATAGCTCATTCTATCATCGACACTAAAACAATCCTCAAAAGTGTGCTCTACTTCATAACGTCTCTAGATTAGGCCTTTGCTTGAACTAAACCCAAATTTTGTGTGTTAGTATATGAGATTTCATTTTTACAGACTGATATAAAGCCCAATCAAGGAAAAAGAGCTAACATGGGGAAAATGTGGTTTAAAAAATTTTGTCACTCCGTAACAAAAAAGTGTCAAAAAGTTATCTATTCTCTTAACTACACGCCTATTGCATTCCATATTTTCTTAAGTATCTCAGTGACCTTACACTAAGATTTTCCAACATTTTCGATTGATAACATTATAATTTAAGAGGAGATATGATGAGCCAAACTTTGGTCACTCCGTAACGCTTTGTTACGGAGTGACAAATTCAAGGGACATTGTCACTCCGTAACGAATTTTTTTATTGACATTTCAAGATTTACAGTTGTTATTGATCTGGTTTGTAATATTGATGCCAGATTGCATAATACCTAGCTTGTCAGCTACACTGCTTGTGTATATTACAAAAGACGAGGACTAAGAGGGGAGAAAGCCAAATGTGCTAACTTTGGTTTGATAACTGAAGAAAACGACCACTGGGGATGTCACGTTCTGCCTGAACAAGCTCGTTAGCTGGAGAAAGTCGAAGAAATAATTCCTGGACAGATTAACTTGGTTAAGTTCTGGTCAGATGGATGTTCCTCTCAGTTTCGGTCACAGTACACCTTCTTCATGTTATCCAAGTTTCCTCCCCACTACGACCTGGAGTGGAATTTCTTCATGGCTAACCATGGTAAGGGTGCCTGCGACGTGGTGGGTGGAACTATTAAACATGCTGTCTTCAGAAAGATACTGTCCAATCAGGTTGTCATAAATACACCAAAGGAGTTTGCAACCTATGCTGACAGTCTTCTCAAGTCAATCAATGTCGTGTATGTTGGAGATCTAGCCTCAGGTATGGAAGAGGGGTGCAGAAGGAAAGCAAGACCAGTTCCAGGAACCTTGAAAGTGCACCACATTGTCCGTTCTTTCAAAGATAACAGCTGCATCCTTACCTTTAGGGACACGTCAGTTGATGGATCTTTGATAAAGAAGATAGAGTATGCCGATGAATCATCTGCTCAGACGACTTCAACAACAGTTATTGGAGAGGAGGAAACACCATCATCTTCTAACAGCTGTGAAACTTACAACATTGATCAATTCGTGATTGTTAACTGGGAGGGTGAACTTTACCCAGGAAAAGTTATTGGCAAGCCAGACAGCAGTAACCTTACCGTTAAGTGCCTTGTACCAGCTGGAAAACCTGGATCAATCTGAAAATGGCCTGACAAAGAGGGCGTCCATGATTACGAACTTAGTGACGTGAAAGGAGCTATTGGTATGCCGAAGCTTTTGCCGGGAACAGGGAGAAGAATAGAGTTTGAAGTACCTGAACTTGCTTATAAGTGGGGTGTAAAGGTTTGAATTTTCGTTAATCTGTGTACATTGTACAGTTTATAACTTTAAACAAATAAGCCCAGATTTTTAAACATTTCATTATGATATGTCACTCTGTAACAGATTCTTAACCGAGTAATATTTGTAGAAAGTTAAACCAATGAGACTGATTTTTATGCAGTTGTTTATATTTTTCAAACAGTGATTTAAATGTGCTGTATTTTAAGGGAAATTTACAGAGTTGTAAGCTCCAGGGTTGATTTTTATCACATGATCGTATTTTTATTCATAATTGTGATCAAGACTAATGAATTGTACCAGATTTGATTTATTTCACATCAATAAATTTGTGTGTCTACCTTGTTTAAGTGTTATCTATCTAATTTTGAAAAGAATTCTACTATTTAGAGCCAGGAACAGGATGAAAAATGATGAAAAATTCGAGTGGAATGAGAGACTGTTTGATGCGTCACTCCGTAACAGTCACTCCGTAACAATCCCCAAAATTTTTGAAGCCTCAAATTTTTTATTCCTTAGGCAATACACACTTTTTCTTGATTAATTATTGAAGGAAAATGTCTGAAAAGTGCCTGGAAGCCGTCAAAATGCAACTTTCAAGAATATCTGAGATAAAAATTAGGTCAGAATATGGGTGTACCAAAATCTGAAAATTTATCTAGTCACTCTGTAACGAAATTTCGACTTTTTATTACTCAAAAACGGATTGATTTCTCACTATTTTCTTTGGCAGATATGTAAATCGTAGGTTTGAAAAGCCTTAGAAACATAATTTAACCAATAATGAACCTGTTTTCTTGGACATTTTTCGGAAAAAATGGGTAAAATTGTCACACCGTAACATTCTATAGTTTTGAAATATGCCCACCTATGCTTTGGCAGTTGCCAATTTATGGGGATATTTACGCATTGCATGACATGGACCATTTAAATAATATCTTAGTTTGATATTGCGATTATCGAGTCACTCTGAAACAAATTGTGTCTAACTATACCAAATGTAAACAACAGTTGTGCATGGAACTAGATTGGATATCTACATGAATTTAGTCGAAATTGCATAGTGAAAGGTCATTTCATAATAAATTACTTATATAAACTCATACTTCATACAATTCTAAGTTCTTATGTACATGTTCAATGTTCATGATTCGCTGTAGAATAAAGGGCGGTTCACAAAACCACTTTTCGTTCAAATAATAAGATATCACCTCTAATTAGTTGCTCTATAGGATCAGGAACAACCAAACAATTTTTTGTGTCTACGGTTTCGTATAATACTGACTTGGGCCACGCCCATATTTTTAACAGGTAAAATTATCTAAATCGTCAATTTAGTCACGAAGGAGTTTGAAAGGAGTTCTAAATGTGTGCTCCTCTAATATAAACAGTAAGAAATGGTTAACTTTCGTCGAGGTCTCAGGTCTCTACAATGTCGGGAAGTTCCTGCAGGAATTTGCGCATTGTGCTGAAGCGCAAGATTCACTGCGCCAAAAGCGAAGGTCGTAGAGACATGAGACCTTGACTAAAGTTAACCATTTCATACCATTGCTATCAGAGTATGCCACTTTCAGAGTCCTGAACACACTCCTACAGCTCTTAATCGTCAATTATATGAATTTTACCTGTTTAAATATATCATCTTTAACTGATATCAATTTAGTTTAAAACACTGTTAGTTTTAAAAAAGAACTTATTACTTCACACCAAACTAACGCAAGATATGATAATATAAAAAAGGAAGGTTTTCCTTGGATTCCGAATTCAACTTTGATTATATCCTGGCACTGATTATCATTTCTCGATTGTTCTCCATTTTCCAATGCTGTCAGCAAGTTCCAATTTAGGTAGACTAGGTTTTCGAATCTTCATATTATGTTCAGAAGCAGGCCAGAAGGGGTTGTTACCAGAGGAATATAATCTTCTTGGAACAAGGAATTAATGAGGTCTTCATTTATTTCTTCATAACTCGTCACTGACAGTCCGGACAGGATGAGCATTGACGAGATTCACTGATTACTTCATAGCTCGTCATTGATAGGATCAGTATTAAATGAGGTCGAATGATTACTTCATAGCTCGTCACTAACTGGATCAGCATTTAAACATGACTATCAACTAACGAGGTCTAGTGATCTCTTGCTGATACGTCAAAACAAGATCAGTAAATAGCTATAAATATCGAAAAAAATTAGCTTAGAAATTACATAGTACAAATGCCTTCTTCACAATTAACTCTTTGGCCTCATCTTTTTAAATCACTCATTCCCTCTGAAACAAGATTTAAATGCTTAGGACTAGGAGGAACTTAGTTAACTTCTTGTATAATTCGGTAAGAGGAAAATTCCTTAGTAAGCTAACATTCTTTTGTAGGATGTTACCACTTATCATATCTGTTATCCAGCATAATCCCACAACTAGACCCTCTTTAAATATCTAGGATCCTACATCGCTTCAACCAGCAAAGACATCAATGTCAGGAAAGGCCTTGCATGGAAAGCACTTGAAAGTCTAGATGTTTTTTGGAAATCTGACATGTCTAGAAAGATCAAAACTAAAATTTTCAGAACTGCAGTCGAGCCTGTTCTTTTATATGGCGCAGAAACATGGACTTTGAAGAAAGCTGACACTAAAGCACTAGACGGTGTTTACACACGAATGCTACGAAGGGTCTTTGGTATCTCATGGAAATCCCACACACCTAATCCCGTCCTCTACGGAAATATCCCATCGGTGACTGATACCATGAAAACACGAAGACTTCGTTTTGCAGGGCATGTCTACCGTCTACAGGACCAACCTGCTCAGCAACTCCTTTTCTGGCAACCATCTTACGGCCAAAGGTATCGAGGACGACCACACAAGACCTTTCCGGACGTCCTTCAAGAAGATACTGGTTTAGAGCCCCACATGATACGTCTGCTCATGAGTGATAGAGATAAATGGAGACATGCGTTGAGACGAAACTCGTTCCAGATTTCATCTGGACCGACCTAGGCAGGCAGGCAGACCCTCTTATTCTTGAGTCTTGACAATGACAGCAGCAATGTACACTATTTTGATGGTCCAGGTCTCCAAGAAAACCTTCCTCTTTATATTCTCATATTGTGTGTTAGTTTGGTGTGAAGTATTATTATTATTTTTAAACTAACAGTGTTAAACTAAATTGATATCAGTAAAAGATGATATATTTTAACAGGTAAAATTCATACAATTGACGATTAAGAGATATGGGAGTGTGTTCAGGACTCTGAAAGTGGCATACTCTTATAGCAATGGTATGAAATGGTTAACTTTAGTAAAGGTCTCATGTCTCTACGACCTTCGCTTTTGGCGCTGTGAATCTTGCGCTTCAAGCGCAACGCGCAAATTCCTGCAGGAACTTTCCGACATTGTAGAGACCTGAGACCTCGATTAAAGTTAACCATTTCCTACTGTTTATATTAGAGGAGCACACATTTAGAACTCCTTCCATACTCCTTCGTGACTAAATTGACGATTTAGAGAATTTTACCTGTTAAAAATTTCTGCCGAAATTTACCTCATTTTACCTCATGAGGCCAGCCAAAATAGGCAAAATTGGGATGAGGTAAAATGAGGTAAAATGAGGTTGACCCCCCCCCCCCCCCCCCCCCCCCCCCCCCCCCCCCCCCCCCCCCCAAGAGAACTATTCAGCAAACTAATTAATGTTAATGGTTGTATATGTAATGATATATTATAATAGTACGTGATAGCTTATCATTAAAATGTATATAATACAATTATATAATTCTTGAAAGAAAAAAACTAAACAGAAAACAACTAAACAGCGGATAAATGCCCTAACAGTGGGCATCACGAAAGGCTAAATCACACAAAAGCTGCTGTAGAGTGTAGTGGGTCAGACACACTGTTCATTAGTTGGAGGTACACTGTACACCATCACATTCCAGCTTATTCATTCCATGCGGTAGACGCACCTTATTTAATATCGAATTTAAAACAGATCAGTGTGACTTCCCGTGTTCAATAAGCACTTCTATGATCAATGGACTAAGGAAGGAGTATAGTGTTATCTGAGATGCAGTTTTTACCTCAGAAAATAGTAAACTCTCAAATAGATCTGACCTTTGGTTTAAGATAGCTAAAAAGTAACAATACAAGACTTCATTATTTTTGATCATAGTAAAATGATTGGTTTCGTTAAAAGCATCGTAAAAATTATTTGGACGCAACAATAAGTCACAACTCATATTATGATAACTACCTACTGATGTAGTGTTAAATGAGACTGGGAACTGGGGATTAGGGAAGGCGACTGTCTGAAAGTTGTCACATTCGCACACTGCCCTTGTTATAAAAGAGGGCTCAAGACCTAAGTGGGTGCGGCACTGTGAGCCTCATGGTAGTGGTACTGGTACATTGTATGAAATTAAAGTGTATTTCCTTACCTGGGGACCTCGAGTCTTGTTCTTTAATGGAATATCCGGCGGTGATCTCCAGTAATATATCTCATGAGGCGTGGAGTAAAGGCTAGAATACACAGGTAGAAAGTACCGCTACAAATTGCTTAAATTAGAAGTGTGAACTACGTGTGTGTTTATGTGAACAAAATATAGAGTGTGTTAACAATTTTCTAATTATCCGATCAAATAAGTATGGTACTTATTTATCATGTAATTAGTAACGTGTCACGTACAAGTTAGATAAACTTTCAATGAATAAACAAGCTGACACAGTTCCATGTTTCTCTATTTTTAATACTACAACGTAACACGAGAGGGGACCAGTATTGCGAAAAGTTGGCCTAATTGTTAGAAACCAACAGATGCTGAACTTGGGATCCAATTGGGGCTGGATTCCTTTGTTTTCCTTTTTAAACTCAGCCCTAATTGTGAATGTTAGTAACCAACAGATGCTTAATCATCAAAATATAAAAAGAGACTTCGGAAAATTTTTGAAGAGGAGTTTTTCTGCCGTCCCCGCAGTCACACGTGTAATCTTACCCGCGCAGTCACACGTGTAATCTTACCTGCGCAGTCACACGTGTAAGCTTCCTGCGCAGCTGCATATGTGTCGTAGTCCAACATACCATGTAACAATAAAGTAACATACCATATATAGTCTAACATACCATGTAACAATAAAGTAACATACCATATATAGTCTAACATACCATGTAACAATAAAGTAACATACCATATAGTCTAACATACCATGTAACAATAAAGTAACATACCATATAGTCCAACATACCATGTAACAATAAAGTAACATACCATATAGTCCAACATACCATGTTACAATAAAGTAACATACCATGTAGTCTAACATACCATAGGCGGAAGAGAGGGAATGTGAGCGGGGTGGCTAGCAGCTATCTCCTTAGCTCTACTAGTCACATCAACCACAGTGTAGTTATCCAGTAGGAGGACAGTATCCGCTACATCCAGATAGTCTCCAGCCCCTCCCACCACCAATATACTGCTTACTCCCATCCTGGGGTAAACACTTGTTATCTTACACGACACACGTGCAGCTGCGCAGGTAATATTACACGTGTGACTGCGCAGGTAAGATTACACGTGTGACTGCGCGGGTAAGATTACACGTGTGACTGCGGGGACAGCAGAAAAACTCCTCTTCAAAAATCTTCCGAAGTCTCTTTTTATATTTTGATGATTAAGGATCTGTTGGTTACTAACATTCACAATTAGGGCTGAGTTTAAAAAGGAAAACAAAGGAATCCAGCCCCAATTGGATCCCAAGTTCAGCATCTGTTGGTTTCTAACAATTAGGCCAACTTTTCGCAATACTGGTCCCCTCTCGTGTTACGTTGTAGTATTAAAAATAGAGAAACATGGAACTCTGTCAGCTTGTTTATTCATTGAAAGTTTATCTAACTTGTACGTGACACGTTACTAATTACATGATAAATAAGTACCATAATTATTTGATCGGATAATTAGAAAATTGTTAACATACTCTATATTTTGTTCACATAAACACACACGTAGTTGACACTTCTAATTCAAGCAATTTGTAGCGGTACCTTCTACCTGTGTATTCTAGCTTTTACTCCACGCCTCATGAGATATATTACTGGAGATCACCGCCGGATATTCCATTAAAGAACAAGACTCGAGGTCCCCAGGTAAGGAAATACACTTTAATTTCATACAATGTACCAGTACCACTACCATGAGGCTCACAGTGCCACACCCACTTAGGTCTTGAGCCCTCTTTTATAACAAGGGCAGTGTGCGAATGTGACAACTTTCAGACAGTCGCCTTCCCTAATCCCCAGTTCCCAGTCTCATTTAACACTACATCAGTAGGTAGTTATCATAATATGAGTTGTGACTTATTGTTGCGTCCAAATAATTTTTACGATGCTTTTAACGAAACCAATCATTTTACTATGATCAAAAATAATGAAGTCTTGTATTGTTTCTTTTTAGCTATCTTAAACCAAAGGTCAGATCTATTTGAGAGTTTACTATTTTCTGAGTTAAAAACTGCATCTCAGATAACACTACTCCTTCCTTAGTCCATTGATCATAGAAGTGCTTATAGTACACGGGAAGTCACACTGATCTGTTTTAAATTCGATATTAAATAAGGTGCGTCTACCGCATGGAATGAATAAGCTGGAATGTGATGGTGTACAGTGTACCTCCAACTAATGAACAGCGTGTCTGACCCACTAGAGCAGCTTTTGTGTGATTTAGCCTTTCGTGATGCCCACTGTTCGTGCATTTATCCGCTGTTGTTTTCTTTCAAGAATTTAATTGTATTATATAAATTTTAATGATAAGCTATCACGTACTATTATAATATATCATTACATATACAACCATTAACATTAATTAGTTTGCTGAACAGTTCTCTTGGTATAGCACTAATCCATTTATTAGGCGAAATTACATCTGACATTCTGTATTTAAACACCGCCTCCTCTCCAACTCTAAAAAGTCCTACAAAAAACGTTTATCTTAAGCTAGGGCAGCTATCATTTAAACCTAAAGCCCAATTTCAACACTTGTTTTACCCCAGCACGTGCAGGTAAGAAATGTCAGATGATTCGGGGCCAACAGACCCAACTGAAGCGTGGGAGGACGGCTGGTTAGAGCCCACTGAAGATTGGACTGACAATTACAACAAGTTCAAGGAGCAGGATGGAGCAGGAATTGCTATCGCTGTGATTGCGTTAGTCGTAGGTAAGAAATATTGGAAAAATCCTTCTAAGATAACCACAAAATGTGATATTTGTCTGTTTATCCAGTAGAGGCAGCAAGGCATGCTAAAAGTTCGCATTGGTACTAGATGAATGACAAAATGATTGATTCCACAGGACTATTTGGACTGGCAGCAAACAGTCAGATCTTTTTGTTCTACTGGAGAAAGAGAAAGGATCTAGTTCCCTCACTCTATCTTACTCTATCCTGTACTGACTTTCTGGTGTCTCTGACTGCAATCCTTCATTTTATAGCGTTGATACTGCTAGTTACAGGTTAGTTGAAATGTTTAGAGCTGCTGGAGAACATTAATAACCAACAATTAGCCACGTTTAAACTGTTATCTATACTGTTATCTTGATTACGCAATGAATAACATACCTCTCTTTTATCCCTCTACAGATCAAGAAGAATCTCCGGAGATAGTCGTATTTCTGGCAGCAGTATTTGCCATAACGACCCTGATATTGCGAGTATCAGTGTTTGTAAACGTGATACTGATAGTAGTCCGTACCATCAACATTACCAGACCCTTCTACCTGATCAACAGAAGAGCGTTGTGGGTATCTGTCCTCATATGCCTCCTTGTCCTCCTCCCTCTAATCTTATACGACACTGTGCGGATCAGGCAGGATCAGGAGGATTTCTACGCAACTAAAGTACGCTATGTGTTCCTCCCGTATGTAGGAGACTACGCAGTCAAGGATATAGTCATGGCATTGAACCCCATTACCGCTGGAAAGGGCAAGAAGACGGTAGTGAGTGTTCCTGAGTACGTGACTTTTGCAACGTCCTGTGCTCCGTTTATAATTGCAGTGCTGATATCGCTAGTGTGCTTAGTAGTGAACTACAGAGAGCTGAGAGCTAGCAAGAGAGGGCTGAGTAAGACGGGGGCAGGGACTGCGGAACAGGACATCACAGTCACCATTGCACTGCTCACAACTGTATTCTCTGTGTGCAATACAGTTTACAGTCTCTGGATAGTGCTTACCTGGGCCTTTAATTGGGACTATTGGACTGATCAGGTGGTTTTACAGCTGTGTTACGTAACGAGCACTCTCTTCCCTTTTATCAGCTCTTCTCTCAACGCTATTGTCTTGATCTGGAGGAGTAAGACTTTGAGAGAGAGTCTGAGGAACAAATTCAGGAGGACAGTTGAGCCGAGCAATCCGACTAATAAATCTTATAGTACTGTAGTTACTAATGTATCTCTCGCTACTACTGAAGTTTAACGTGAATTTAGGGAGATTAAGTGAGGTATAGACCTCCACTTCAGGCAGTATTAAAGTGAGCGTATTAAGCCCAAATGGTGGTCGTGCATAGGCTATCCATAAACATACATCTGAAAAAAAAAACTCACAGATCAGTAATAAAAGTTATGTAGTACATAAATTTCGTTATTAGTGCATTTATTCTTAGTAAACACTAAACACTTAAGTAACAATTGTGTCGTGAAACATATATATGTATGCTGAACGATTATCTGTAAAACGTGGTGGTCCGTAATTTCCGTATATTTTATGGTTTAAATTAGCATACATATTTATGGGATATTTGGTTGTAAATTATACATTTGATTGGTATTTCATATGAATATATAGTATTTATATAGTATTTGCTTACTTGTCGTGCAATTCCCTAGCTCTGTAGAGATAAGGTTTGATAGGCTCCTTATCTGCACTCAGTAACATCTGCATCTTGTCATCTCTTATCATGAAGTTGGTGGCTGCAGTGTCCTCGTCAATCATCAGACAGTTTCCTCCTGGGAAAACGCACATTAGCAGCAGACAAATACACGCGACAAACCAGTTGGACACAGTGTAGAACATCTTAGTTGGCAATTTAGTTAGGCTTATTGTAGAACATTAGTTAGGCACAGTGTTTCGCAGCAAGGTATTTTATATCCCAGGGATTAGTTATCGCGCAACAGAAAAGCTTCTATTCAAAAATCCTCCAAGATGTTTCCATCTATTCTGATGATTTTCCGTTCATCAAAGCTTTCTTTGGTAATCAAACTTACAATAACTTAATTGTGTATTTTATCGTCCGCAGTGAACCGGACAAATATGTTAATAAAACGACAGCGGAGCTGGTTATGTTTAAATTATCACAGACCAAATTTATCTTCCTCAAGCAAGGTCAAAAGGAAATCGCATCACGTGCAGAATCGCGATTTTTCTCATTCTCCCCGACAAATCGCGATTTTTGACGTTTGCCGAGACAAACAGATCCTCGCGACAAATTGCGATTATTCCAGTTCTCTGAGGACCAAATTTGCGCATTCTCCTTTAAATCCTAGGGCCAAATATCACGTTATTTATAACTATATGGAACTAATCACATCCACAGCCTTCAGAATGTAGGTACGGACCGAAAAAGTATTTTCGGCTCATAATGCTCAGGGTAGCATGAAACATGAACAAAAGTAGTTTCCAGAAAAACTTTGAAAATAATTTCGATTAAGAAAATTGTTGGTCCGAGTCATTCTCGATAGGTAAAAGGAAAGTGCCTCAATATGTAAGTTACTCTCCTTGTTTCTATATAAAGATAACTTTTATAATAATTCTTACGTAGTAATTATAAGAATTTTCTATTATCACTAGAAGCCGCACAGACCTACTATCTGAACACAAACCACCTAGTAATTGTCATTACTGTAATCCTATGAACCAGTGCATCCCTAATTCATAATTCGTGTAACAACATCATGAAGAAGAGTCTGTTTAGATCTTAACACTTAAGATTATTAATATAGATGCTGCTGTTTTGCCTGACGGGCCTGTCGCTCCCTAATCTATCTATACTAACAAGCTAGTTAACGAATTTATGACATCTAACTTAGCTCTGCAAATACATTATCTTTCGCCGCAAATTCACCGCGATTTTGCCTAGTTTGACTTGTCGCGGCCTAAATAATCGCGATTTTCTTTTGTCCTTGTAATACAGACTCAGTAGATAAAGCTTTCCAAGCTATAAATTTGTTTATCCTCGATTAGTTCGCTTATAATTAGGTTGTCAGTTCTTGGTATTAGTAAAACTACAAATTCGGGTCCGGGTCTCGGAAAATGGTAAAAATAAGTAGAAAATAATTTTGTTGTGTTAATGGAAAAAAATTGTCTTTTCTCTTTTTTGTTGTTGTACTTTTCGGGTTTTTTCAGTTTTTAACGTTTTATGATAACAATGATAATAAGTAATTAATGCGTAATACAATTTTCTCTTCGTCGTCAGTGTTGAGATTTTTGCAGGGAGCATCTTTTTTTGAGGTTTGTATTAACCTACAAGGCTGGTCAATCAGTTTTGATCTTCTTTAGGTGAACTTATTTTCCTCCTCTGGAGACCTCTTCATATTCTGGTCATGTGGTTCATGTTCATGAATGGTATGAAGTGTTGGTTAGTTCCGCTGAACAGATCGTCGAAGTCTGCCCAGGAAGCCTCGGATGGCCTCAGCCGTTCCATGGTCTCAAGTACAAAAGTCTTCAGTGTCTTTGAGGAAGCAGTGGAGCTGTCTCCGAGCGAGGTCCGACTATCGAGTGCGTACGCCGCTCTTCGATAGCTCAATTTTCCTATGAAGGTGTTCCTCGCTTTCGTTCGGAAGCTTTTCTTTCGTTTCCCATTGGGTAGGATATTGAAAGCAGGCTTAGCTTCAGATTCTCTGGGAATCTGTCCAGTTGACATCAGTCTCATCTACAACATACCCTGGGAGACCAAAGGAATTATTTCTTTTCTCGTGACAGGTTGAGCCAGGAGATAAGGCAGAAACAAAGAATTCTGGTTCGATATTGATGCTCTCCACTTCTGTCATCTCGTAGCGAGATCTTTTGTTGAACATATAGAGGAAACCATTTTGTACGATTTTAAATTGTTTCACAAACGTTCGGATATGAAAATAACGGAATTGCACTTGTTATAAGCATATCTATAACCCATTCATATGTATAACCCATTCAATTCCACGTAACGTACGACCGCACGCGCGAACTGTGCCACGCGCGTACGTGCATGCATGCATGCGCGCGCGCTTTTAATTGAACGCGCTGCGCTACAGCCTTTACAGAAAATGAATTCGGTGATGCGCGTTCCATCCAGTTCTTTGGCGATCGTACTTTTCCCCGGGAAAGGTAAGAATTGACAAGTTTAAAGTCAGAAAAACAAACCTAGTTCAAGATATTCCATGATAGCAGCTGCTTGAGAGGTACTGCCGCTTGCATCACAACTGTAAAACTTAGAAGTGTCCTTTTTCTGAGGCAAGTTGTTTATAAAGTTGGAGATGTCGACCCCTGTTATTTGCCGCCCATCCTCAGCTCTTATCTTGGTAGCCGAGGGTGTTGTCACAAGGTACTCTCTGCCGTCACCAGGTATCTTGGAGTATATTCCCAGCTGTAATTGGTAAAATTAGTGAGTTACCAGCATATTTAGCAAATTGCTGCCCATGGATTATTGCAGTTATTTCACGAGGCGCAGCCGAGTGCAATAACTGGTGTAATCGTATTATACATGCAGTTAGATTCGCGTATAACTCCACGATTCTGGTAGAGTTTTTGTTGGTTTTTACTCCTCCAGAGTTCAGACTAAATGAAACTTGAGATTGGACACAGGAGTCAGGACAGGGAGTGCGATTACAAAACTGATCGCACTGATTTTCTGAAAGTACTATACTGTATGATGTCATATTTAGCAAATTGCTGCCCATACACTAACATTAGTTGCAAGAAAGTTACAATATAGCTCAATAATATAGTGTCAATAAAGAGCCACACGCTGGGGCTACGGTGGCGGGGTGACCGTTATCCGTCGAAATGTTAGGTTCACGATGACTGCTCTGAGACTTTATGAGGCTTAGTGTGCCCAGTCGTTGTTTTATATTTTGTTACAGGAGTTGATTGTTTGTTGTCAAGTTGTGCATTTGTATTAAGTTTTAACAGGTGGATGGAAATATCGTCCCGAAAATCAAATCGACCTGATATTGGACAACTGAGCGTTTTAGAGCAATTGAAGAGAGCTAATACATACTAATAGTACTTCTGTAATTTTTAAGACGATGCCGTAGAGTATACTCACAAACAAATAAAACAGTTATTTAAAGATAAACTGTGTTGTATTAATATATCACAGTATCTTTCAGAAAATCAGTGCGATTAGCTTTTTAATCGCAAACAATATGTTTTCGGTTTCTCTCAAAACAGTGTGATTAGTTTTGTAATCACACTCCCTGAAAAAAAAACGGAAAAAAAAACGGTGCGATTATGAAAAATATAAGTGGCCGTCAAATAGGTAAAAAGTGGAGTTATTACAATAAGCACCTTTAAAGCTGAGAGTAAAGTTGTTTTACCATGGAAACCACCACCAGCAATTAGAGTAACCCCAGGTTTTATTCCCATTCCAGTGATGCTCCCTTTGTTAGGGCATTTGAGCTGAAACGCAGTCATTACCTTTAAATGGTAAACTAATTAGTAATTCATCAATATTAAGTTATCATCCTTTATTAAACACTTCATAGTAAGTCACTAACTTTAAGATAAGGAGGAGAATGTATTAACTAAAGTAACTAACAGTAACTTTAAGAGAAGGAGGAGACTGAAAGGAGACAACACCTCTGCCACTATGAGGAGTGTCAAGGTGACCAGCAGAGCGCGGCAGAATTGCACCGTCCGGTACGAAGGCAATGAGTTGAGCAGCGCTCAGTTGCTTGCGGAGGGCTTCCTGGTCCTCGTAACTCTCCACCCAATTCTGTAATTCTGTTTTGTCTGTTGACTCTCCACAGCAAGCCCTGATTACCATTTTGTGAGACCACGATAGCAGTTGATTAGGGTTATTATACAATCTAAGTTATAAGCAACTTGATTAAAAGAAACTTAAATTTCCCGCGGTTAGGTACAATATCGCAACATGGTACGTTAGAAGATTGATAAGATAAGAAACATGATAAACGGTAAACCTAATGACAATATTGTGCACAGTGTTTGTACAGATATCAGCAGCCCAGTGTCCGCAGATATTCCTCCCTTTAGCCGGGAGTCCAACACAGAACCTGAGCAGAATGTTCTCTTCCTTTACCTGTAGTCGTTATTCTTGTTTTCATCTTGTCAGACGACAGACATCCGCTATAAACCTATAGTGACCATTACGGTACCGCAGTTCCATGAGGTATATAATGTATTATTCATAAATTAAGCATTTTTAAAGCTACATTATAATCGATTTATAAGAACTGTGGCGCTTAGTTCACAATTGTATTATTAATTTCGTTAGATCAAAAGAACTGTTAGATAAATTAAATAACGCAAAATAATAAATTGTGCATTGTTTGGTGAGTAGTAACCTCGACTGATGTTCGTAATAACATGTTTTGAGAGGGGTGTTCTATCCTCAGCTCTCCACCCTTGCCATCATGCCACGAACCCCCTGAAATTGTTGAGTCTTAGTTGATTCTTAGTTTAGTCTTAACTCTTAGTTTAGTCTTAGTTTAGTTTTTAGTTTAATCTTAGTTTAGTCTTAGTTTAGCCTTAACTCTTAGTTTAGTCTTAATTCTTAACTTAGTCTTAGTTTAGTCTTAGTTTAGTCCAGTCTTAGTTTAGTCTTAACTTAGTCTTAGTTTAATCTTAGTTTAGTCTAGTGTGAAATGATAGATCAACCTTGACAATGACTAACAGACCAAGTGGTACCATCAGCAGTGTACATTTTTGAGAAGAACTAATGTGAATTTTGAGAAGAACTAAGTATGAATGTACACTGTTTGTTTGATAATACAACATACTATTGTTCTCAAGACTCATTCTTCAAATGATGCATACCGCATTAGAGCTAGTCTTTCCCAGTGTTTGTTGTGCCTTTGTTGTAAAAAATAGCTGCAGCTTCTTATTTTAATAATTACTCACAAATTTGTTCGCCCTGGTGGCTCAATAGTGCTTTTGACCTCTAACATCTTTACCGTTCAAATTTTACCAATAAGATAGATAATTGTTAATCCGGTAGATTAATCTTTACCAGCCCATAGTATTTGTTAAAAGTTGAGTCTAGTTGAATTACACCACTCCCTATCTTAACCAGGATGAGTTCAGAGAACCAAGATCAGAGAACCAAGATCTTGCAAGATGAGAAGAGAAAGTTAAGAGAAGATTTTGATAAAGAGGCTGAAGAAATTGAGCTAGATATAAATGAAGCAATGGACGGCTCAACATGTGGGTGGGGCACTTTACTCTACACAATTGGAACATTCTTCTTCTGTGCGCTGGAGGGTGCAGAGATAGTCCTCCTCACAATAATAGGACCAATACTGAGGTGTGAATGGAACCTCTCCTCTGCCGCTCTATCAGGTCTCCAGATCAGCACTATGATCACCATGCTGATAACACCACTGGTAACCTCCACATTTGGAGACAGATTCGGGAGAAAACGCATATCTCTGATCTCAGCTGTCGGAGTCACAGCAGCGGCGATATTGTGCGCCTTCGTGCAGAACTACTGGCAGTTTATAGTCCTTCGCTTGATAACAGGAGTGTTTGTTGGTCTGGGCACCGGGCCAACTGTAACTCTGAGTGGAGAGGTTACACCCAATAAATTCCGTGCTCTTGCTTTCTCTGGCCTCTCCTTACCTTGGGGTACAGGAGCTTCAGTTACTGGAGGTATGGCTTACTTGATTCTGAATGACTTTGGGTGGAGAGGTCTGGTAATTTGCACTTCTCTTGCCTTCTCTCCGTGCATTGTGTTTTTTGCTGTGATCAGGGAGTCAGCAAGGTTCCAGTATTACAGGGGTAACGTGACTGAGGCTGAGATCACTATTAGGAAAATTTACAAGATGAATGGTAAAGGGGATGTGAAATTCAGACTGAAGAGAGCTCCACCAGTGGAAGAGCAAGATAGAAACATTAGCTGCAGCATGGTCTACAGATTGCTCCAGCAAACTGAAAACATTTCCAACTCCGCGTTACTTTTACTCTCAGGCTTGACAAGCGTGTTCTCATATTATATAAGTACCTACACGATGCCCAGAGTTTTAAATGAGGGGTATTGCACTGGAGCACTTGTTCCAGCTGAAAGAACATGTTTATTTGACAATGCTACACTGTTTGATATTAGTATAGTCAGCTTATCAGAGCCCCTGGGTGTTATCCTCATGCTTCTTGCCATTGAAAAGTTTGGGAGAATAAAACCAGCAATTGGAGTGGGCTTGTTGGCAGTTCTGCTCCCAACGACACTATATTTCTGTGTTAATAGGTCCTGGTTGTTCTGGTTCCTCCTGTTACAGCGCATGGCTATAGCTGCAGCAGCATTGTTGTCTCCTATTTTGATCGCTGAATATTCACCAACTGTTATCAGATCGTTTATGATAAGTGTTTTAGTTACAGCGAACAGAACTGGGGGGATAATAGGTATCTTGTGTTCAGAGTTCTTGTTTAATGAGGGTGTGAGACTGGTATTTGTTGCCATACAGGCCACAAATCTCTTGTTTGTGTTTTGTTTAATGGGACTCAAGAGAGAAACTGTTGGTGTAGAACTCACTTGATAAAATAGAACTGAGCTTAAATCTTACTGCAGCAACTTTTTAGATTCGATTATTAGAAGTATGTATAATGTATATTTTCACTTATCAGTAGTCGATGCCTAGACAGGATTATTTTAATTAAAAATGTAAAATTTTGATTTATTCAGCAAAATCAATCATTTCAGATAGCTGTTAGAATGATATAATCATGAGTCATGACCCTAAATTACTGCTCATGATAGCCTTGCAAAGTAAGTAAACTGTAAAGTAAACAAAATTTAAAGATGAGAAATACCAGTTGCAGTTATTCATAACTTGTGAATTCTGTTTACAGGTGACAAAAACAAACCAGTATTATAGTGACTATAATTTATAGTGTCACTTACGTGCTTTGTAGTCAGCCTTCTGATCAGATATAGCACCCACAGTCCTGCGACAAATGTAGTCAGCAAGGGCAACTGTGCGAGTACTGTTTGACCATGACCAATCTGGGAACCTACTCTGAAATATTGTGCAAATATTACACTAGATATATATATTATATACCTGCATTATAATTACACAAACCTGCCACTTGATTTAAGAGCTAAATCATAAATGGGTGGATAAACTGAAAAATTGAGAATGGGCCATGTCTTACATCTTACATTTTGGAGGGGAAGAGTGACACATATTCTAGAGGGAGAGGCGTATGGATCTCCTTGCACATGATCGAACTTAAGACTGAAGATCCTTTCAAAATCAAAGGTAAACCCTGAAAATAATATGTTATTGTTATTATGCCTCCTTGGATGATAATGTTTCGGTGATACATATCTATATTGATTCTAACAAGAGCTCAAGTAACCTGGAGAAAGAAGCTCAAGTCATAAAATAATCTTTAATAGTTATCTTTAATTACCGTAGAGATCCTTGTAAAAGTTGTAGGGTTTTCTATCCAAATCCAACAGTATGTATTTTAACTCTTGTCTGTTGGAGAATTTGTTTTCTCTTTTGTTAGGATGAGCATGATTATCTTTGTCATCTCCACATTCATCCCTTGGGATAAGATTGGGGTGAAGTTAGTGAAAATGTCAGAAACTGTCAGAAACTGCTTATCGGAAATTATTATATTTTAGTTTCGAAGCACACTCAAACCGTGATATACTAACATAAGATTTTTTGTATACACATTACACTGGTTCCAATCAAATGACACAAAATCAGATAGATTTTCTGTCAGAATCATGATAAAAACAAAACCTGCAATGATGTGAGTTGTTAGATCGTTGACCACGTCCCCCTCGGCTTCCTCTACCATATCTGTTCTTGTAATACTCTCCTCTGCCCATAATAACTAAAATGACAAGAACCGATAATAATTTAATCATGAGGTGCATAACTATCGTGGGTTATGAAGAGAAACTCAATCAAACAAAATTGCGATTTAATTTTATGCCATAATATATATTTATAACAAAACTGGAATAAAAACAATCCAATATAATATTCAAAGCTAACTTATGTAGATATAGGTTGACAAGGCAAATGGGGTGTGCACTTTTACATTTCACATTGACGATATTACAATGTGATTTCGTTTGAATGTTGATTGAATTGCGTTTTTTCACGGTAATTACTTGTCATTGCCGAAAGTTGATGCCGTGCTGCTTAGCATTACATTTGTACCTGTTATCCGTCACCACAGCCAGCGATTTGCGATTTACGTTAATTGTTACTTTACTATTTGATAATTTATTAGATACGTAGTTTAGTTTATTTGATATTCATATTTAGTACAGACAGATCCGTATGAAAAAATCGATATACAGACACAAGAAGCTTCCTACGGATTTTTGACGTTTTTGAGTCCCATTATCTGCCCTTTATGGCTAACCAACTTTTCAAAACTTTTCCGTGTGTGGAACCACTTTTTACCACCTTTCCTGTTTGTCAAATATCACATTAATTCCGAGCTGATCATCATGACCCCCAAAAAGATCCTGCGGCAAGAACCTGTCTTTTTGCTTCACAACATCCCAATTCCAAATCAACTTTCTTAATAAAAATTAGTTAGGATTTCTTGGAAATTGCTTAGATGCTAAGCAATTTCAAAGAAATCCTAACTCTCCTGGAACTGATTTAACTGAATTGATTATTACCGTTTCTTTACTCCCCCTTGCCCGTATCTAAATCTTACTTTTGCCTGTATCTTACCTTTGCCACTTTAGGGATGATTTGAGGTATCTCACATAGCAAATGAAGCGGCATGCAGTGCAATAAAAAATAAGTCACAGTAGATGTTGGAAGGTATGTTTACACTTGCTTCCTAGCTGTTTCTTTTTTTCGCTGGTCTTTTCTTGCCTTCTTCGAGCTTTCAATGAGTCATTAGGCCAAGTAGACGTTTTCACGATACTGTTAAATCTCTCTATATCGGGCCTCTCGCGGAGAACGAAAAGTGTACGGTATTAAGGGGACATACACCAAAACCTATTTTGCCGGAACCGCGATTTGACTCCATATTATGAAAGTATAGATAAAAACAATAAGATTTGATACATTGAAAAATTTTTTTGAGAGTATGCACTTTCAATTTTGAGAAGTCTGTCACTGAATTGGCTGATTTTTTTACTGAACATTATTAACAATCCGTACAAGAAGCCCTCTAAAAGATTATATAATTGAACAATAGATGACGAACTTACAAACCGAACAAGGTCGACGAAGCAAAATTGAAATTTTTGCCTACTATTGAAATGAAACGAAAAGTTTCAAAAATTCTTGTGAGTGTAGCTGATAATCATATCCAACTTTTTGCTGCAGGATTTCTCATAATTTTGAGTTTTAAGGTATGAATTCTGGCCTCAAAGGTCTTAGTAAAATTCATGTAAAAAAGGGCCAGAAATGGCAGATTTAAGGCTTAAAATGTCTATATCTCAAAAAGTGTCAGTTTTTTTTAATCAATGTGATAAGACGAAACTTTTAGTAGGTCAAATAGATGATTTTAGAAGAAAAATAGTCTTAAATAATTTTCTAGCTCAAACACAAATTTTGTGTCTTTAAATATTATAAATTTGGAACTAAAAGTTCGTATAAATGTCTATGTGTTTTGTCTGTGTTTGTTTGTCCGTAGTAGGAATTTACTGTAACTTTGGAGACTGGGCGCAGTAATGTCCCAGAGGGTTTGTAACATCATGGATGCTGACTAAGCTTACCTGATCCTCTCCAACTTGTATTAGTACACTACTTCATTCACACCAGTCATTTCACTACATTAAACTGATTGAGGTTATGCCCTTTGTACATGCTGAAGCGATATGCTATGATGAGTGGAATATGAGTTAGGATCAGTTTGGTCCGTTTCATGGCAAAAACATTTATTGATTGTCTATCCAACCAAAAATTCAGGGTGGGTTTTCTTGAAATTGTTGTTTTGTTGATGAGAGTGGGCGAGAGTTAATGAACAATGTTCTTATCCTTCGGCAGTCTCCTTCATTTGTGCCGGGGCTGCGGTGGGTTGGGAGTCGTCCATCACCTATTGGATGGTGAGAGGTTTTTATAACTAGCAACTTATGACCACTGGCTAGCAATGGCTGGAAACAAATTGATCAATGTCAAATTAACTGAGGGCTGAAGGTAGTACTACTGGCCACGCAGCATCCTGCTTATTCTTAATTGTGTAATTGCATTACATTGTGTGATATGTGGTGTTTATTCATTGAATGTAAACAAAGTTTTTGTTTTATTAGATAATTGATAACCTGGTGGATTACTATTTACCACCCCATAGTATTTGTTGATAGTTCAGTAGATTTGTATTTTGATCATTGACAGGATGAGTTCAGAGAACCAAGATGAGAAGACAAAGTTAAGAGAAGATTTTGATAAAGAGGCTGAAGAAATTGATTCATCAAAATTCTCTCGAAATTGACTTTGTAGTTGTTTCTGATGGAGGGGAGTGATATCTATCAGCTGTTTTTGGTCCCATGGAAAAATATTGTTCCTAGCCGAAATTATTGCCGGTCAAAGGTCAGCGCTTATGTGTAATTGTATTGCGCGAGCGATTTTCAATCGCGCGCCCTGAAAATCGAGTCTAAAAATCTATCTTCTCCTACATTTTTTGAGTAATCACCCTGAAACTTTCAGGATATGTTCTTAGGACCATTTAGAAGAGATTGTCAGGCCAGAATTTTGAGATAGGCCTTAGAAAATTTTTTATTCAATTTTGAAAATCTTGGACCTGAAAAAATCGTCAAAATACGAGGTCCAAGATTTTCAAAATCGAATACAAAATTTTCTAAGGCCTATCTCAAAATTCTGGCCCAACAATCTCTTCTAAATGGTCCTTAGAATATATCCTGAAAGTTTCAGGGTGATTTTGATAAAGAGGCTGAAGAAATTGAGCTAGATATAAATGAAGCAATGGACGGCTCAACATGTGGGTGGGGCACTTTACTCTACACAATTGGAAAATTCTTCTTCTGTGCGCTGGAGGGTGCAGAGATAGTCCTACTCACAATAATAGGACCAATACTGAGGTGTGAATGGAACCTCTCCTCTGCCGCTCTATCAGGTCTCCAGATCAGTACTGTGATCACCATGCTGATAACACCACTGGTAACCTCCACATTTGGAGACAGATTCGGGAGAAAACGCATATCTCTGATCTCAGCTGTCGGAGTCACAGCAGCGGCCACTTTGTGTGCCTTCGTGCAGAGCTACTGGCAGTTTATAGTCCTTCGCTTGATAACGGGAGTGTTTGTTGGTCTGGGCACCGCGCCATCTGTCAAGTTGAGTGGAGAGGTTACACCCACTAAATTCCGTGCTCTTGCTTTCTCTGGCCTCTCCTTACCTTGGGGTTTAGGAGCTTCAGCTACTGGAGGTATGGCTTACTTGATTCTGAATGACTTTGGGTGGAGAGGTCTGGTAATTTGCACTTCTCTTGCCTTCTCTCCGTCGCGTGCATAGTGTTTTTTGCTGCGATCAGGGAGTCAGCAAGGTTCCAGTATTACAGGGGTAACATGACTGAGGCTGAGACCACTATTAGGAAAATTTACAAGATGAATGGTAAAGGGGATGTGAAATTCAGACTGAAGAGAGCTCCACCAGTGGAAGTGCACAATAGCAGAGGCGGCTATTGAGGGCGTCCAGGCGTCCGTGGACGCCTTAAAATTATTATCTGGTGGCTGGTGCTTAAAATAGAAATAATAATTAGTAATAGTGTTAGGAAATAACAAATCGCAATATAAAGGTCTTCATTTACTATCATACGTTTTAATGTAAGCGCACGCATGATCTTCGTGAAATTTTGTGTTGTAGGGAGTCCAATCCTACCTCTGGACTACTCAGCCGCGCAGTTTTAACTCATAGTTAATTGTAAACGTTACAAAGCACATCGTGCGCATCCCACTACAGGTAATCTATTATGATTTGCCTCGATTTGGGGGTCCAGGACCCTTTGCAATTCGACTGTTATGATACTGCGCGGCTGAGATCGTACACGTGTGGTGTCTTGTTTCACCCATATTATAAGTTTTTGTTTTTGTTTGCTGTCGCCTGTAAAGTGTTACACATTACATTTACAAGGCCCTGTAGCTGTGTGTAATGTAATCGGTAGTTTGGAGGGATCAGCTTGAGCCGGCTCCCAAGCCCCCCCTCCCCCCAGGTCCATCGATTGGACCCCCAACAAAACTGCCAGCCAGCTCCCACGAGCCGCCTCTGCACGATAGAAACATTAGCTGCAGCATGGTCTACAGATTGCTGCAGCAAACTGAAAATATTGCCAACTCTGTGTTACTTTTACTCTTAGGCATGACAAACATGTTCTCATATTATATAAGTACCTACACAATGCCCAGAGTTTTAAATGAGGGGTATTGCACTGGAGCACTTGTTCCAGCTGAAAGAACATGTTTATTTGACAATGCTACACTGTTTGATATTAGTATAGTCAGCTTATCAGAGCCCCTGGGTGTTATCCTCATGCTTCTTGCCATTGAAAAGTTTGGGAGAATAAAACCAGCAATTGGAGTGGGCTTGTTGGCAGTTCTGCTCCCAACGACACCAGTGGCGTAACAAAGGGCCCTGCTGACCCCGCTGTGCAGGGGGGCGCCGTCTTAGGGGGGGGCGCCAAATCGTCGTTTGAATGTGGGACAATTTTGAAAACTTAACTAAAGTACTAGCAAAACTGTGCGTTTTGCTCTAGATACACACTTTTTTAGAGATTTTACCGGCGTATCCTCTAAAATCACCTAATTTGTTCAATTTTAGGGAGGGGCACCAAAAGGGGAAGGGGCGCCAACAGGGGGGGCGCCTTTTCGGCAGGGGGGCGCCAACAGGCAACGTTACGCCA